GGGACATGACACGGGACACGACGATGCAGGCAATCGGAATACCCGGAGCTGTGTCAGCAAAGGCGCAGAAGGCAGGAAGAAACATTGGGAGTGGACAGAGCGCAGGTTAGACCTCGCAGGGTAGGGGCCTGATGTGGGCCACCCTGATTCTCGGAACAGGAGGGCAGCCTCTAGGGGAGAGGAGGCTGAGCAACTGACACTGACCAATGGACCCTGACCAAAGGACCGCCATGATCCTTCCAGAGTTCAAAGAAACCTCTTCCACCAGATGCTTAAGGAAGTCTTGAAACGCACCTTTAGAAGAGCTTTGAATCTGAGACATGCTCAAGTTAGCAAACATCTACTCGTGGTGGCTGAACTGAAAGCAAAAAGCTGGGAAGGGTCAGAGAAGAGGAGTGTCTCTCATATGGACTACGGAGGACAGGAAAAATAGGATAAAGACCAGAGGAGGTGTTCCATGTGGAAGCGCAAGATCTACGAGGGCTACAAGGGAGGGAGGGAGGCTTATCTGGCATTTGCCTGTGTGTAAAGCTGGCTTGGGGTTCATTTTTGTTCTTTATGTGCTGTTTCAGACAGTAAGTGATGTACATTCTGCAAATCCCATCTGCCCCCCCTTCCTTCTTGGAAGGCCCAATACCAGTATCCACCCTAAAAGAGGGAAGTCTGCTATTTTCCTTTAAAATGTGCTGATGTGGGCGCCTGGGTGGCTCAGTCATTAAGCACCTGCCTTCGGCTCGGGTCGTGATCCCAGGGTCCTGGGATCAAGCCCCGCATCGGGCTCCCTGCTCAGCGGGAAGCCTGCTTCTCCCTCTCCCACTCCCCCTACTTGTGTTCCCTCTCCCGCTGTGTCTCTCTCTGTCAAATAAATAAATAAAATCTTAAAAAAAAATTAAAAATAAAATGTGCTGATGTGCACACAGTAGGTGAAGTAAATGCATGTTTTGTTGGATTTAAATTAAACTTTATTTTAGGAACACTGCTTTCAATTTATCTTAATTAAATAGTCACTTCTAGGCCGAATGAAAACTCTAAACGCTGTATTACAAAGTTAAGAGACAGGCTTGCATTTGATTCTTGGACACGCCACTAACCAGTTCTGTGACCATAGGTCAGTTCTTTAGTCTCTATGACTCAATTTCCTTGTCTGTAAAATGGGTATAATAACCCCTACTGCTTCCCAGCAGTCACGAGGATAAAATGAGACATCACTCCAAAAACAAGAGTGTAGCCAGTGCTTGGCACAGAGAAAGAACTGAGGACGCGTGAGCTCCCTTCCCTTTCCCTAATGCACCATAATATAATCGGATATTTAGAATTTTAATTCAGGCAATTACTTAAGTAGTAATTGCTATTTGTATTTACATAGCTGCTTTGATCCAAGAAGCTCAAAGGGCTTTACTAAATTTAGCATTTTAATAAATGTTTCATTTGCATTCCGTTGATTTTGTTTACCCACACCAAAACTTGGAATTTCCTAAAGCAAGAGAGTCAGACAAGGGAAAGGGAACAAGATGATAGCTTCGTGTTCACAGGTAACCCAGGTCTGAGTTTTATCTTATCCATTTGTCTACGATGTTACGGCTCCCTGGGTCCTGGGGAATAAACTGGCAGTGGGAGATGAGAACACTCCTGTTACCCCTTCAGCTTCTGCCCACTGAATTTCACCTTCACCATGCTTCTCTCAGGCACTGGCAACCGAGGTACGTTTACTGCACCAATGAACTTAAATATAATCAGCACAATAAACATTATTAAATTGCCGGAAGAAAATCAAAGCACGAAGCACGGCGCCAGTACTGAATTCTAATGATGCTGAATGGCCGTGACTGCACAGGGACAGGATCTTAACAAGCCTTGATTTGAGCGTTGGCATCCGCCTCACAAATCACATGGGCCGTTCCTCTCGTAATAGTGCTGAATACTGATAAATGTCTCTACCCTGCGCAACAGGGAAGTGGGTTTCTATTGGCAATCTTTACCAAAGTGTGTTCTTTCCCTTCTCTACACTCAAGGGTTTACCCTGAATGATTTAATTATAATTTTCCTTGTGTAAGACAAATTAAAGAGGAGAGTAGGAGTGTCGTGCCAAGCACATTATTTATCTCCTTAACAGATTGCAGCTCACCAAACCCCAGAGCTGCTGCTACAGCGCTGCTCACAGGAGCCCGCAAAACGCATGGGGGCAAGAGTGGGGGAGAGGGGGGTTTCCAAACGCACAGAAACATGCAGCCTAGGTGAGACTGGGAGACCTCTCACTACTTTAAAAACACAGAAACTCTTAGGATACTGCCTTTTGCCAACACAGCTTCACATGGAGCATTCCTGAATCCTTTGAGGCAGAATTCGTAAGCTGTTCACCTAAGATTGAGTTTGAAGGGCTAGATTATTATTCAGTGTGGCAGAGGCTCTGGCTTGTTCAGATACTGCTCTGGAAGAACGGAGCGAGGGAAGGAACAGGACACTGAAATCGACGGAGAGTCTGCAAAGTTAAGTATTTCACAAATGCACTGGTAAGGGACGAAACTTCTCCAAGGGACCCCTGTGACAAATGTCAAGTCAGTGAGAACATTTTTATAGTGATCTCTTTTTTACCATTTTTCCACTACTTAAACAGGGAATCACATTGATGATTTCAAAATAAATCCTAAGGTAAAACCAGATAAAACCTCATTATAAGTATCTGTATGTACACAAAGCTGGCTAACCAGTAAGTGAATTTTTAATGATCAATTCTCTAAGTTTCTAACTTTTGAATTATCTTTAACCTAAGGTGCTCAATTGTCTTGTTCACTACATTCAGCTAAAACAGGCTAACCAGAATTTTCTTTTAATTCAGCCACAACTAGGAACCTACCCGGCAATATAAACTGAGAGATCCAAGATACTAAGGAGCGGCGTATAATTTCATAGCTGCTGCTTCTTTGCATATGTAACTGGAAAATTCAGCCTGTCTTTACAGCCAGATTACAGCTCAGTAGAACCCAAATTCTTCTCTGATCCATATTCTAATTTCGGCACGTAGTATAATGAAGATTAAGCCTCACCGGTGTGCAGATCATAAAAACAATTCAAACAAACTTATTCTCTTGGAATGAGACTGTCGGTTAGATCCCTTTACTTTCAAATACACCTTAAGACATGAAAAGGGCTATTCTTCTCCCACCTGCCTCATTGCTAATCTGTCACCTGACTGCAGATATAGACCCTTTTAGGATAAAACCGAGCACAGCGCATCTAAACAAGAAGAGTTTTCTGTGTCACAGGAAATCTGTGCAGGCTCCACAATGGCCGGCAAGGAGGCAACAAATACCTGAAGTGCATCGGTCGGCATTTTTCAGTGGATGGCCTGTTCTGCCTATGGATCAAGAGGTAATTCAATCACTCCATGGTAAATGGACGGCATCAACCTTAGACACCAAAAGCAAGTAGAGCAAAGGACAACAACCTAGAACCTTTTCTTTAAAGCTCTCTAAGGTTCAGTATTATTTAATTACAGAGACACTGTCAGAGGTGGTAAAGCAGAGCAAAGACTGGCTTCCAGAAGTACAAAGCTATCCTCACTGGAAACAACAGAAGCTACATTTGGCCCAATGGCTCCACACAGATTCTTACTGTCTACCATTCTATCCTTTGAATTCTTCTGAATAGGAAATTTAAAACATCTTTTAATTTGCCTATGTCTGCCACAGAAGTTCCAAAATCATCTTAAAAGGATAGCTGCAAGTTTTGGTTAAAACATCTATTATCCTCACCTCTCAGGTTCTTACGCTTGCCGGGGACACACGCCCACACAGGCACAGACATTCAGAGAGCATTTTCTGTGGTTACGGATCTTGAAACGGATAAAATGTTGCTGGTAGAAAGATATACATCTAATTAAACCCATGGGCTTCTTAATGCTCAATAGTTCAAGAAAGGTATGAAATTATATTTGTAATTGTTCAAGTGAAAAATATCATTAAAAAAAACTTTCACTGAGTCATTTTATTAAAAAATAAAATATAGAATTTGTTTTTCCTGCTGGAAGTGACATTTACTATCACACATTACTTTGAAAGTTTCTTTTCTTCTGTGTGGGGAAGCTGTGCATATGAAATAGATGGGAAACCGTTTAAAAATAGTACATTGAAAATAAAAGTTTTTAATTTTAGGAGCATTATATATATACACTCCACTTCTGAAAAGCATTCAACAGTAGTATTAATGCTTCTGGGGTGTGAGGATCCAATAACATGAATTAACAGCTTCATTTTCTTAGAACTGTCTGCTAACATGATGTATTCTGGATATCTCAAACAGACTCGGCTTCAGCTAACATTCAAGCAAAGCTGAGGGCAATTACAGTATATAAAGTCTTAACTTCCAAAGAGGAATACGGCAACCGAGACAGCACTGCATTCCTCCTCGGGAGTCAAGACTTTATTTTTTAGATCTGTGTGTATAGACGTGGATCGTGTACGCACAAAGACCCCTTCCACCTCCCCATCCTTCCAACCTTCACTGAGCACTGACCAGGAAAAAGGCCATGTTCTTTGGAGGCACAACGATGCAAAAGATAGTCTCCCTGCCTTCAAGGAGGGCGGTACGCAGTGGCTAAGCTCTCTACCTTTTCTTGAAGTGTGATTCAAAATCGCCAATACCAGACTCTACTACTCCCTCAGAAGGTGTTTAGAGCCCAGGCATTCAGCTTGCATGGAATGAGCATTGGGCACGAAGAGTAAGCCTGGAACCCTTGAAATCCAACCCATCCAGTGAGTAACTAACTCTGCCTGGGTTCTTAAGCTTAGGTTAGATCTGCATAAGTGCTAATTCCATGTTGAAAAGGTGAAAATAATTAGATGCTTCACACCCAAACCATATTGAACACATTCTTAAGTAATTACATGCACATTCAAGTCACATGGATCCAATTAGGGATCGCTGAGATATGGCGGAGCAAGGGCACCCACCCCTTCCACATTCAAGACCGTTCCAGACACATCTCAGTGTCTCATTCCTACCTTTCCCTTTTGGGAGCGTGGACTGAGAGCTGTCCATTGGTAGAGGCATGTGGGTTCATTATTAAGGAGGTCTTGGAAGGTGCAGAGGAGGAGACACATGTCGTGGTCAGATCCAAACTGCTGTGATTGCTGCCTGTGGTTTCTTCTGCAGAATGAGCACTTGTCACTTCTTTCCAGAGCTGCTGCAGTTCTGTTGGAATCATGCCTGAAACAAACAAATTGGATAATTAAATCAATTAACAGCTAATTCCGTCCTCTTCAAACAGTAATTAAATCAAAGAGTCAGTAAACAAAGCCTAGTGTTAGGGGTTTTTTTTTTTTTTTTGGTGTGTGCGTTTTTTTCCCCTCCCAACTAAGGCAAATACGGTAGTAACAACCGTGTCCCCTCACTGAACAGCCAGCCGAGTTGAAGTGCCCTCATCACACATAAAAGACCTCCGTGAAAAGGATTCAAAACACAGTTACTCTGCAAAGACAGTATGCCTCCATCCAAACTGTTGTTTCTAGATTTTTGAAAAGGAGTAGATAGATGTTATTGTATTTTTAGACACAAAGAAGGGCTCGAAATAAATTTGTTCAACTATACTATTATGACAACATGAACCACAAAATGAATAATTTTTGTGCTTAAGTCGTAAATGATGACAAATAGCTTTGTTATTAAATATAGTTTTTATTAATCACTTTTAGACATAAATTATGAATTCATATCATCTTCCTGAAATGCTTTTCAACTTTTAACATTCAAATTGATTATACTATGATTATTTCATTAACACACCTATCTTCCTCATTAATTTTGGTTTCTAGTACCACATGCTTAATTGATGGATGTGTCTACTGAAAAACTGTGTAACTTTTTTTTTTAACAAGTAACACTATTATTACTGTCATTTCTTAGATCAATGCTAATGAACCATTGCAGAATAAAATGCAAACGTGAAATAAACTTGGAGTAATAAAGTTCTCTTGTTTCTTAAGGGGGTCAAAATGGACATGGGTCTTAAGGAGGAAGGGTCAAACCTATATTTTCCCCAAGAGGAGATACAATCAGAATGTCAATCTCACTACTACGGCCTCATAAGCTTTATTTTGGAGGCATGCCTCTACAGCCCAGGCTTCCCAGAACCCACCTCAATGCATCTGCTGGCGCACGCATGCACAGAAGAAAAAGATTCTAAATGGCAGCTAACAACAACAACAACAGTTCCTTCAAAAGGACAGCTAAAAGAAATCGTCAACCCTGTGTGTGTGTGTGCAGCATAAGGCAATTCCACATTAGAACTGGATGTCTGGACTGCAGTTCATTGTTTCAGTCAACTGTAACACAGCTATCCTAGAAAGCCTGCCATTTTCTGACTATATAGCAGCACCCGAACAGGCGTGTTTCTTACCAAACCTAAGCTATTGAATTAAAAAAGAAGGCTGTGTGCATTATATTCATTTGAAACACATAATAAAAAATGCCAAGGTCTAAATTTAATTTATTTTTGTCATTTAGAATACAATGGATAGATAATCATCTCAACGTGATCAGCCAAACATCTTTACTTTGCTAAACTGTTAAAGATTTTAATTATGCTAGCATTGGAGAGCACTGGTCTAATGAGGCGATGGACTCCAGAGAATCCGAGTGGTTAAGAACTGTGAAATGAGTCTGATAGGATTTTTTTATATTCACCGTGGATCGTTTGCATATCAAAGAGGAGTAAATTATTGCACAGCAGACCAATAACCTTCCCCGCCTTTCTGAGAGGAGCGTTAACAAAAACAGTTGGTCTCTCTTAACGGTTCTCCACGAAAATGTTCAAATGCTCAAGTATTTGCAATTAATATATATTATAAAAGGAGGCTTCAAATGATACATTAAGTGGTCAGATATTCTTAGGACGCATCCTCGACAGCCAAGTTGATTTTCTTCTCCCTTCATAAAAATCAAATGCCAATTATATTTTGATGGATTTTGTCCCAAATGAGCATTTAGTTATTAGGCATATTCAATTATTGCTTGTCCCCTGAAATTAAGCCTCAGAGGCAAATTAAACAATGGGAAAGGTCACTCCACGATCCCGTGTCCGGTTCTGCTGCATCTGGGCTATTATTTTCAAACACCTCCCGAAGTGACATGTGGGATGTGTTTGTAGCTAACAGGCCTGCCACTGATGTCCGCACACCAACAATTACCTGTGAATATGGCTGACCCTCCAACCACTGTTTACTCAATTGAAACAATAGTGAATAGGCTTGTCTGTTGATGATAGCATATTGATATAAAGCCACACAAGTCAACACCTATTTTTATTTTCTAGGGAGCAAATACACATAAAAAGAACAAGCCGCCCATTTTTCAACTCAAACTAATTGATTTCTGGGTCAGCTGCATGGGAAGTGAAAAAAATGGAAGAACACGGTTTCTAACAACTGTGTTAATAACACTTTCCCTCCAAGAAAAGCAGAACTTTGGAGCTGTTTTAGAAATGAGCTGTTTATCCAGCAAATAAAGACAAAGGCAAATGTCTGGTTACACTTGTTACACCTACAGAGTACATTAATATTACTCTGCTCTCCTTCTCTTCCAGGGGGCTGGCCAATCAGTTTCATCCCTCACAAGGGGAAATGGTAAATAAAACTGTAACTCGCTGACCACAGGCATACTTTTGGGTCAAATTTCACTGTGATAATTATGTTTGAGAACATTCTCATCAGACTTAGAGCAGTCAAATCATTCTCCTCTATCAATGATACACCTTGTTAGCAATGTTAAACTATTACTTCATTGCATACTATTTACTGGAGGATGCTATTATTTGACAGCCATAGTCTTGTGATAAAATTAAGACAGATAAAAGGCAGGCTAGTCACTCATCAGACTAAATGGATATCAAATTTCCAAAAAGCATCACGTATTTCCTCCAATATGGTAGACAGGAATAACAGTACCAGGTTCTGTTTAACCTAATTCATTAACAGATATATATATACATATATCTCAAGCATGTAATCTCTAGTTCATATTTTCAAAATTAAGAGGTCAGAATGATATTAAACATCAGGGGGTCAGCGGCCTCAAGAGAGCAGGGAGAAAAGCGTATGTGCTAATTACGTAAAATAGAGAAGACCCTACAGTACTCTTTTAACAACAACAAAAATGTCCCTCCATTTCATACCATAAAGCCTTCAGGAAAGGAAAAAAAAAAAAAAGAAAGAAAGAAAAAGGCCTTCAAAATATTACTTTCTATCTATTCATACTTTCACATTTCTACACGCTTAAGGTGACTTAGCCAAGGCCATGAGCAGGTACGTCAAAGAATCGCGACGACTGTGTCACGGTGGCCATTACTGGCATTTGTAACACCTAACCCCTGTGCCTTGCTACATTCCTTTTTCCAGGACAACCAACCCCTTCATTATAAAAGAAAATGCAGACACTGGCTTAAAAAATGTATGTTGTGGGGACAGTTGACAGATTACTGCTCATGGAACTCAATTTTACAACCCCAGGTATCACTGGCTCAAAGACAGAGTTGATCAACCTTTTTTTGTCCTTGTACATCCATACCCAGGTGACCATGTTCAAGCAAGCAGAAAGTTGATTTAAACCTCATAATGACATCAGTTTTAAGCCATCATGTCTCTGATAGAAAAAAATTGTGTTGTAGTCCAACATGACTGAATTCTCGAGCCACTTTGGGCGAGGGGATAGGAGAGACAGAACCAACCTCCGGATCCCACAGAAGATGGCAATGACACCGGGAGCTCACTTTGCTGCCACAACCTGACTCCCGAAATACCGTATTTACATTTAGGTATCTTGGGCACACATCAGGGCACCCCTTAGATGTTAAATATGCTCCTTCCTAATGTTGCAGGGGCTAATAGTTATAGCAGATTGCTAGGCATATCAATCAATGCCATGACCAGTGAATTACCTACTGGTGTCTCTGATATGTTACTGCAGAGATTACACTTCATACATCACCACATTCATTTCTTTCACATTACACATGAGCTTGTCTTGTCACTGCCCAATTGCCCTCTTTTGGACAGCTTAACTGATGTACTATAACAATGAACCTTAGTGAGCAAACTTAATAGTATAGGAGCAGTGGGAAAAGAGAGGTTGAAGCCTGAGTCCAGTGGGTGTGTCAGAATGGCCTGCGAGGTATCTAACAATAAACCCAAAGGTGTAATTAATGCACGTTATAACATTTTGCAAGCACAAAAATGCATTAGCCGATGTGTCCTTTCTTTTCCTCTTGTACTGCTGTTACCAAATCTTCTATTTTGACAGTCATGGAGATGCTGATTATGTATCCAGTAGGTGAACAGTAATGGCAAAAACGGGAGGAGGGCCAGGAGGGACAGTAGAGGAGAAAGCCCAGTTTCAACACTGAAAACATAAACCAAAACAGAAAACCCTGGAAGAGATCTAAGCTGGGTGTGGTTCACTCCAGAGAGAAGATTCAAATGTAGACATGCCTCACTGGCTCCACGTGACACTGAAAGTTGCTGAACGAATGAGCATGTCTTAATCACCATGAAGAAGGTCCCACATTTTCAACCCGCTTCAGAAGGCAACTGAATCCAAGACACCAAAGGCATTAGCTACCAGCCTTTAAGGCCCATACACATACTGCAACTGCCAAGCCCAGGGCTCTTGAGGAGCGGACTGAAATGTGCTGTACATGTACAGGATGGGGGGAACTGTATTTCAAAACACAGCCTGACACTCTCTTCCTTCCTTCCATACTTTCTCATTCTGGTTCTGAATAATCCATGTGCATTCACATTACACATGTCAAAGAGTTGCTCAAACCATGAGGATATCCGAAAATGGTTAGAAATCCTCTTTTGTTTCTGATGTCCAACACCCACCGTAATAACACATCAGTGGCTTTTCAAAAGAAATCTTTAAATCCATGAAATCTTGCTGCTTTTCGAGGAACTCTAGTTTTTGAAGAGCAAGAGGTAGAAGTGCTACCTATTCTCATGAGTACAGAACCTGCTCACAAAAAAACCAACAGACGAATGCAAACAAGGAATGAAAAAAAGAAAAAAAAGAAAACCCAACAAAAGAGATTACTCTTAATATAGAGAATAAACCTGAATTTATCCCGAGAACTGAAAAAGTGGCATTTCAAAAGCATCACTCAGCTTTACAACAGAACGAGTTACAATGATAGAAAATATACCTTACACTGGCTCAACAAAAGCCTTCAAGAAAATTCATCTGGGATTCCAAATGGACAATGCTCGATCAGATTGAAATGGTCCGTAAGTCAGAGTCGCACTGCTTTCCCCTATGTGGGATAATGTGCCAGGGTGGGATTCCTCTGCTACTGCGCAGCATCAGACCACCCGGTAGGTCTTCATTTTGGCATCCACAAGCAAGCCCTTCGGCTTCTACGAAGCTCCCTCCTAAGGACCTCATCCAGCCTTGCCTCTGAAGTTGGCATGTGCTTGTTCTGGATGGACCACATCCTTACTGACGGGCTGGGGCGTACCACCAGACAGCCTGCCGCCTCGGCCCCGCCGCCTGGGCGGGGCGGCACCTGCCGCGTCACGGACGCTTACCTTGAGCGAGCGGCTGGAGGGGAAGGGCAGGCTGCCCTGGCTGAATGGTAAGAAGGCCTTGGCGCTGTAAAGACAGGAGGTGCTGCTGTTGCAGCTGCTGCATCTGGAGTAGTTGCTGCTGAAAGGCCAGCTGCTGGGTTGCCACCTGCGGCTGCTGCAAGAAATCAGGGAGAAAGAAAATGAGCCGGCCACTTCCCGAGCAAGGTTCAGAGGATGGATGTTTCAAAACACACCGCCGCCGTCGTCAGACACCGACGATGGCGGCTGGAGTCTAGTGGAGGGCTCGGTGTCAGGGCTGGTGTGACAGGGACAGGACACAGCGCGTCTGAAGAGCATGGGCGGGGGGTGTGGGTGTGTGGGGGGGCTGCGTGTACTCCCCCCCCCCCGCTGCCAGTGGCACAGAAAAATAACTCGCCCATCAAGTCAGCTTTTCCTCCAGTTTGAAAGGCCTGAGCGTTTCTGGTCGAGATGTGACCATCCAGACTTTGAAATGTTTAATGATTCACGCCACAGAGAAGGCAGGCACCGGTCCGGTCTGGAGGGATTTGAACCCTGAACCTTGGAGAGTACAGAAGAGCAGGCTGCCTTCCTCTTGCCTGCACCAGGAGCTTTTAAACTACTCTGTTTATCACTCCCAACATAAATAAATGAGAAAAAATCAGACCTTTGAAGAAGAAAAACTTCATCTAATACTGTTAATTAGCCATGACAAACGATGAAATAACACTGTAAATCTTTCATAGAAACAGCCACTAGATTTTAATTACACACATTCATAATTTAGCAAACAACATCGTACTCGATTGTTGAGTGTTTAATGTGAAGGACACTTTAAGCTTCAGATGCCTTAACTTGGCTTTAGTTTCAGAAACCCCCAGGTTGGCTCGCCTGTCCTGCTTCCCCACCCGCTTTGTTCTTGAAAAGAAGGGGCTTTACGGTATGATAAATATCTTTTTGTTGATTGGACAATGACAGGAGGAAAACTTTTGTTGTGTAAAACATCAATACATCATTCCTGTGTTTAGCAGGCCTTGCTCCAGCCAAAAAAAATTAATGTAGATTTCCTCAGTAATTATCTGAGTGATAGAAAGATAATACAGTGCAGTAGTACAATAAATAGAAGGAAATTATCTAATATCCTTAATCTGCTAGGAATCAAATCGAGGTGGAGGTCTTAGCCACATTATGGCTAACAATTACGAAAGGAGAATTAACCCTTCCCAAACTGTAGCCAAAAAAAAAAAAAAGGTTCTTTAAGAACAACAACAAAAAAGACCCATTTTCCTAATTCTGAGTATCATTCAAAACATCAGGAAGACTTCTGCAACTAAAAGGGACTGTACAACCCTTTCAGAGCTTCTAATAACTATACTTTACAAACAACAGCATTCACTTAACCTAACACATGACCTTGATCTGATACATCCATAAAATGGTATGTGTATCAAGACCTTCTGATGCCAAGTTCAAAGAAAGAGAAAAATGGTGGTTTCCTTTCGGTCTCCGTGCAGTTTATTTTACAGTAAAAACCATCATTCTCCTATTAGCAACCAATTTCAGACTTACTACCATGCCACTGAGAAAGTTAATTGAGTTTCACTCCAAAAAACAAATTCTATACCACTAACAACAAAAATTTAAATAAATTTAAATGAAAAGCCAGTGTTTTCATTTTAAGAACAGCATGCATAAAATGATCCAATTGTTTTCACCCCTTCCCATGTTATCACATTAATGTAAAACCCAATGATAGTTATATTCATGTCAAAATGATTTTTTCACTTCTTCAACAGATATTAATTCATGACACTTAAAAAAAAAAAAAAAAGAAGAAGGAAGGAAGGAAGAGAAGAAAACAACCTGGATACAATAAAAGATCGGGGAACCAGCTCTTCTTGAAGTAGAAAAGAATGGAGAGGGGGTGCCGGAGTTTGGGGAGGGTGTTTCCTGTCTTACTGTAAATGAAATGTTTAAAAATTTTGTATTTATATAAAATGACTGATGGCTTTTCTGTTGTCTCTGCGGCCATCCCTAGGAAAAGCTCATGAAAGCTGTCCACGTTTGAAAAGCCAGGATATAAAAGTATACAAGGCCCATTGTCCAAAGAAAGAATTTAAAAGCAACACTGGTTGCCAAACTGTGCTCCCCACCCAGTTACCAAACACAGGATACGAGCCCGTTTGTTTACTTCTCACAATTGAATGCATACAAAAAAGGTCTCCGCGCAGTCCCCTGGACAGGTCAGTAGTCAGTGTTAAAATGCTAAAATGCCCTGATAAACCCTGCATTTCAGATCCCCTCCCTAGAGCTGCAGTCAAAGGTCTGTTTTCCTTTCTTCGGCTCCTCCCTGCTGCCTAACATAAACTGTCATAACTACCCGGACAAACGGCCCTCTTAAAACAATCAACTGAGCCTACCTCACCCGCACAGGATGGGACCTTTTTCTGTAGCTCTACTGAAAATTAATTCTGCCTTCAATTTTCCACACCCGTTCTGTCAAACATTAACAGGCAGTCAACTTCCCTAGCTGTATGGGGCTACAGAAGATCTATCTCCTAAAGAAGGTCTTAGAGCCAACTCAATGGGGAGCCTAACTTTCTCAAGGAAACATCTCGAGGCAACTTTAGAAGAAAGTTGAGTGGAAGGTACATTGTTCTGAGGATCAAGTGTCTTACTGCAGAGGTAATCAGAAAAGGGAAAAAGGTGGTGGTGGTGGCGGGGGGGGGGGCTGACGATTCAAAATTATGAGCCACTAATGACTCGGGATTCAGTAAATTAATACACTTGTTCCATCTGTCAACATCCAAGTTCAAACCTTGTTAAAATCAGAACCACCAGTCCACATCCTGAAATTGCTACCATGTGACTCTATTTCACTGTAGCACAAAAGGACCACCACCTGCATGATAATTTCAGGAGCCTACCCCCTTACCTCAGGAAAATAAGGATCTCTTAATCACCGTAACACAAGCTCTCAGCCAAATCCACCGGCACGGTGAACATACAGCGGAATCCAAGGGGACCTGCCCGCCAGTCTGCCTACCCCTCAGGATGGGAAGGCAAACCTATCTCTTCTATCACCTTTGCCTTGGAAGTGGATGACAGAACGTGACCACAGCAAACCTCGAGTCCTAGAGATAGATGCTGAAAGGCTACCATAAATAATGTCCCGCCTTCTCCTTGTTCAGATACAAAGTACTCCCTTCCCAAACTCAGGCACCACCATCATCAAGATGCCCCTTTTCTGACAGCAGCAATTTGGGAGAGTTAACTTTTATCCTTCCTTCTGCTGTGTAACTTTCCCCTTCACATTTCTTTATCTGCCCTCTGAGCTCATCTGAACTTTCATGTTCTCTCAGCGTGCAGACGTGCATTCCCAACTCTGTCTAACAGACCAAATAAGAGGTTAATAAGAAGTGGCAACAGAAAGGAAAAACACAATCCCTGGTAACTGATAAGAATGACAGTGGCAGCCCTTTTTTGTTTGTCTTCAAATATAGAGTTAAAGATCTTTAAAAAACTAAATTTTGATGCCTTTGAAAAGAAAGAAGCACAAAATAACAACAGGGGGTTATTGCCTGTGAGCCACAGGGGAGAAACTCCATAATTCTTATTCTCCCTTTTGAAGGCTGTTAGAAATCTGATTCAACAAAGCAACAGCAGAAGGGGAAACCTCTTGAGGCTGTAACCATTTCCTGTGATCATGCATAATGTGCTTCAAAAGTGGGTTTTTACCAATTCTGTTGATCAATTGCACCTCCTTCATATCCCTTCTTTTTTTCTGCTGTGTTTACATCTGATGTGACTCAATGACAAGCACTGTCTGAGACTGTGAAACAGGCCTGTCATGTTGATTTATGGGCGCATCAAACCACAACTTGTCCAAACTGAAGCTCGCAGTTCATTAATTAGAGAGTTGTGACTTTGAAGTCAGCTTTCAGACTGTGGTTTTTAACATTTGGCTTAATTTATATGCTCTTGAATGTGGATCTCTAAGGAAAAAACTGAAATTCCCTTCTTGTCTTTGAACTTCTTTTGACCGCACAATAATCATTTCTTTGTCCAGAGTGATGCCTGCAATCCCAGAGTCATTAACGCGCATTGAACTGCCACTGATGAGTAAGCCCTACTGAATTAGAAAAACAGCCAGCAAAACAAAGCTGAGAGCCTTCTGCACAGTGATATCTCACAATTACATGCCTTCCCTCCCTGTGCCATTTCCATTTTAATTACTGTTAGTCCTTTAGATTTACATTTTAGACACTTTTTAATCTGTTCCCTTTTTTATTATAGCAGCCCCGGTAGCGCGCCACTGTACTTAAGGGTTGTGTCAGCATTTTCATGAAAGCACCTCCTCCCCGTCACCCCCAAACTGCTCCGACTCTGCAGGGGTTGCCATCCAGGCTGCTAAACAGGACTCCAGGGCGAACAGTTGGCAGGGCCTGGATAAAGTACCCAGTTTCTGTTGAGGAAGGAGCCAGCCAGGGAGCCGGCCGGGGCCATTCCCAGCATGGAACGTGAGCGTGGCCCGCCATCCACGCTCACGTGAGAGACAGGGCTGTGGATAGTCGCCGAGCGAGGCTCCTTCCAAACCAATGGAAGTGGCCGCCTGCTTGGGGCCAGCAAGGAGGCCGTGAAAGGGGGCCAGGAGCTGTTTTCCAAACTACAAACTGTGCCATTCCGAGAACACTCACATGAAAAGTGTTCCAGTCCACGGTAAAAACGTGAGGAGCTAAGTGACATCAGGGAACTCTGAAATCAGGAGGAAGATGGCATGATAATGCCCACGTGCACACAGACGCTCCCCCAACGGCCTGGTCTTCACCGACATGGAACCGTATGGGACGTGAGATGCGGACACCCTCCCTGGGAAGGCCTTCCTGCGTCCAGAGCTAACATGGTCACCTAGCTGGGTGGTAGGGCCTGGCGCCACAAGTGTGTGCTCTTACAAAGCGCTGGGCCCACGGAAGCCATCGTGCCACACTGGTTTTTGTCAGAGACACACAAATCATCCAAGCTCAGAGGAGTCTTCCCTGTAAGTGGCACCATCTCACGCCTGCCTTGAGCAATCACTATACGGGTCTAACTTGCGAGAAAAAGTCAACACAGAGATAGGAGCGACCATTTCTTGGTCGAACTTTTCTGTTTGTCCAACCTCACAAGAGAGGATTCTTCCAAAGGAAGGGCCATCGCCACACACCCGAGCTGTCTGAGCTGGAGAAAATCTCAAGCACGTGTCCAAGGACACCTGTGCTAGCCGCAGGTGCACCTCAGCCCACCGTTCGGCCCGCCTGCGGGAGGAGCCCTGACGGTCTGGCCCACCATCCTGCTTCCTGGTGCTCATCAAGGGTACACCTGCAGCACTGCTATCAAATAGATGGCAGCCACGAAACGGAACCCAGAAAAATCTCCGAGAAAAACAGGACGATCACTCTTGGTCTGAGAGCTGCGAACCGATAGCTCAGTTGTGCAATCATTTAAGAGATGAACGACAGTTTAATAGCCACTAGATAGTCCTCTGGGATCTGTGGTTTGAAAGTAAAATATGTATTGTCGGTACCTCTTTAGGCTGTTTTCCAGCATGTTGTTGTTGTAAAAGTTGAAGCTGCAACTGTTCCTGTTGTTTTTTATAAAACTCTTGAAGCTGCTGCTACAAAGGAAAGAGAGGACAGTAAGCAACAGAGGGTAGCACCAGGCCATTGTCCCTATGCGGTACCACACACAACTGCAATTTGAAAAATAGCATCCCTTTATCTGGAATGGCCTGACCTTTAGTTTGAAACACGACAGTAAATTTCAGCGCACCCTGACTATTCTTGGGATTATTGTTTGAAAAGTAATCTCCAAAATGACCTGATGAAAAACATACCATTTTCTAGACAAACTAATTAAAATAAGGCAAGGAATGACCTCTGATTGGACAACAAAGCCCCAGTGCCCTTGCTGAGAGAGTCTGGTGAATCTCTACCCCGGCAAGCGTGCATACTCTCAGAAGGATGGGGCTGGGCAGGGTGGTGGGGTGTTCAGCATCTGCATCAACAGCGTGGACAGCTCGCTCAGTCTCTGGTCCCCACCACCTCACCCCAGCAACTTCTGTCACTCTAGTTCTGAATCGCATCTCTTTGGTTTGGGGGTCCGGGAAGTCTGAATGTGAGGTCCCTGTGGCACATGGTAGCCAGAAGTTCACTTCCACATCAGCATACATGAAAGAAGGAAAGTGAACTCTGCACCTTAAAAGTAACCAACTCCGGAATGTCTCTTGATGTTTAAAAGAAAAATTCTGTGAGCCTCTGAGTTGAAATGGGGACTTCAAGAGCTGTCACATTTAAACCTGCTCCTAACGTGCTCCCCATTTTGCTTTGATTCACACCATTTCGAAGCCTCTGGGCTTACCAAATAAAAGAGTGTAAAGCCACATAAGCCTAAAAGATCTTATTTCTACCAAGTCCAATTACAGCCCTAATCTCAGTCCGTCGGGTACTCTCCAGGCCCGAACCCTAGTCGCTTTGGCAGGGGTCCCTCTGCTTCCTGGGATGCAAAGGACATCGATTATTTCAGGGGCCCGCTTGGTGTCCTGCCCCAGCCACCCTTCTCTGCTTTTTCTACAACGGGCAAAGGAGCAGATCAGGCGCGGGGAATGGCAAATAGAGCCCCCGGCCCTGGGAGGAGGAGGATGGACGGTTACCTGTTGGAGCATGAGGGCCTGCTGTTGCTGGAGGAGGACCTGGAGCTGCTGAGGGCTCAGCACTTGTTGCTGGAGGATCTGCTGCATTTGCTGGGGAGTGATAACTTGAGGTGTCATCATAGCCACTGACACGGGAACCTAGAACGTTAATGAAGGATAAATAGGAAGCCAGGAATCACATGCATGCAGCACTCAGCCTTCTGGGGTCAGCGGCAGACTGTCATGAGCCTGCTCCAAGAATGGACCAATTTCCCACGCACAGTGTCTTTATCCAGAGGGGATGCAGCAACAAATCCTATTTCATCTCTTACGGAGTTTATGTGAAATAAAAGAAAAACAAAAGAAGACCTCGCAGCACTGACAGGTGCCCAGACAGCCTTGCAGGCAGACAAGGAGTAAAGACTTAACAAATGCTATCTGGAGTTAGGTGGGGATGATCTCGATTTCTTACGAAGCACGAGGCTTCGGTGACCATTAGCGCTAGGAAGTTTAATGCAAACTTGAATTGTGTTTTAGGGAACAAGGCAAATGGGAACCAGTACCTTCTCGGCAGGAGCTACTCTGATCCCCTTCCTCTGTGCACAGTGATTTTTTAAGGACAATCAATGAATGCCTGGTCTTGTGGGTGACTGAACCCTGGGCGCACCTCGCAAACTTCAACGCAGACCTTTCCTAAGACGCCTTTTGCCCTTCCTTATTCACCCAGCACACAGATGTCTCCATTCTTTCATATTACGTGTGATACCATTAAAAGCTGCTTTCCATGACATTTCAGTGACAAACAGCTACAGTGATGAACTTGATAGCATTTCATATTTGCAACTGTTAACACGTTTCTGCACGGGCATCTTTGCAAGGAACCTGCACACTGTATCTGAAAGGATGATGTCTTGTTCAGATAAAACACTGACATTAAAATGACAGGCTGTCTTGGCCAAGGTTACACAAATTGTATTCAAGCGGATACCTAATGACAATGCTATGAATTCTGCAAGCTTTCTAGAATGTAATTTAGCTATTCAAAATAATCACTGCACTTGTGTTTAATTTGCAGACTACATGAGAACCATTTTGTCAGTCCCCGTAATACAAGAAGACTATTTCATGAAAAATCGCCCCCACCAAATAAAAAGATAAGGAAAGGAAAAAAAAAAACAATGAAAGAAAAGACAAAACCTGTATGTCTTCTAACAGTAATATTTAAGCATCTTACTTTTCTTTGGTTTCTAATCAAACATGTGACAGCAAGAAGCTAGAAGCAGTAAAGGATATACTTTGTTAAAAAGGATCTCCTGTCATCTCATGTATTACAATAAAAGGTAATAACATGTTTTGCACTTTGCCTGTGTGCCACTTAAAAAAAAAATCTGGCAGACAATAGCTGATCAGAAGATAAAAGAATTAAAAAATCTTTCAGGGGAGCAGTAAGCAAAAGGGAGAAATGCAGTATTAATTTTATGTAACATAATGTCTTAATATGCAGTTTATCTTGACTTTTTCACATGATTTGTCCTGTCATTTGCATAGCGAGCTCTCATTCCTAATTTCACAGTCATTATGCACTGATGTCCCGATTTCTCAGCATCACTAATTTTGATGAACTAAAAATGGTTCCTGAAGGTCAGATTCATGTACAGTGAACATCCTCCACTGTTGTTGTGGGCATGTCTTGTGTGGGGGGATGTTTATGTGCAAGTTTCGCATTGTTTGGAAAACACCAGCTAGAAAATTTGAGAAATTTCATTAACCTAACTCTGGAAGGTCATCAATGAATTCTTCCTATTGCAGTGGCCTTTTAAGTGTAGATGTAGATACACTGTAATTTAAAACAGATGGGCATGTCTGAATATTTTTATATGCAAAAAGGGACAGATGTATATGAATGGATAAATTATCCTTTTAAAAAGATACTTCGCAGCACGAAATATCACCAATGATTAGAACAGTGAACTTGCATTCAATCTAGGGCAAACACAAGAAGGCATTATCAAAACATCTAACCATCTATAAATTAATTCCAATTAGTCTACTTTGTCTTCACACACAAGAAACTTTTTGAATTTTTCAAAATGTATTGGGTGCTAATCACTATCTTTTGAGCTGCTGAAGCCAAGATATCACAATAGAAGTTTACTTTTCCTTGAGAGTTGCATCATCATACAGGGAGGTTTGATTAAGCAAACAAAAGAACCATGTTTAAGGTTTCTTTTTTCCTCTGCGTTTCTTGGATGACGTACAATATAAATATTCTTGAGCCAAATTTCTGATGGTGATGAACAGGAAAATAGACAGGAATAGGGTGGTGTAAGATCTAAACTGGTGATGAACATGAAATTAACAGTGTTGTAACAGAAGTCTTCATAGAAATAACCTCTTGGTCACAATTTTTTAAAAGAACTGTGGAAAGTCTCCGTTTACAAGGGGAACAAGAGAACTTTTGGGGGTGATGGAAATGCCGTCTATCTTGACTGGGATGGTAGTCCCACAAGTGAACACAACTGTCCAAATTCTTCCACCTGTACCCTTAAACCGAGTTCATCTTCTTGTATGTAAATTATACTTGAATAAAATCGATTTTAAAAGTTGAAAAAAGGACTGGCATATACAGATAATTTTGAAAACCTTGGATATGGCCAATAGTTAAATGTGCTTCTCCCAGGGTTATTTATTCAATGTTTGCAGCCATGTTACTGAACAGCAAAATGAACCTGAGTCTCCTCTTCTTTTTCCCTTTGGACATTTTCACGGAGGTGCTGATGAGTAATAAACTGCTCAAGCAGCAGGCACCACCAAAGGAGGGAAAGAGGCAAGGAGCCTGAGTAACGCTCCTGCCTGGTACAGGGTCTCTGAACAACCAAAAGTGGGCTCTTACATGCTGATGGCCTCAACTCTGCTTTTACTATCTGAAACCACATTTTCACATCAGTTCACTTGTGAGCCTCGAAAAGTGGGCCTGAGCTTAATTTATAAATGTGATAAAACTGAGATTTCCCCAGTTTCTGCTCCAACGTGTCTTGAAAATAGGTTATGGAAGGTTTCAACAAACATATCCAAATGGACCAGAAACCACAATGGGTAGAAAAGGGGGAAAAAAAACCCAAAAACAGCACAGTTCAAGGTTTTAAATAGTTAAGAAATAGAGCCTACACATATCCACTCTCTTAACTCCCAACGTCCAACTTTTTCATGTAGCTAGTCCCTACTAATACTAGGAATCAAAGAGCATGCAGTACCAGCGAGAGGCTATTATAGTCCACACTTTATTGCCCATTACTACTGAGGTCATTAGCGGCAAGAGTGATTGTACCGGTCTTAACCTATTGATCACTGTAACTACTATCATTTAATCCTGTGTTGAATGTCTGGAAAGCAGCTAAAGGCACACAAGAGAGAGTGCTTTAGCATTGAGAAATATGGCCAAAGCTTAGAAATTACACTGTGATTCATAAAATCTAGCCAGTGGTTTAAATCAATAGTATTTAAAACAGTCATGTGAGTTTTTAACTACAGTGGCTCTACTATTTATGGGCCCCTCTCTGAGAGTATTCGGTGAAAACTAAACTTTATTTTTTCCAGATTCTATGCCATCTACCTTGCCCTCCTTGAGATAAAAAACAATAAATTCTGATTTTTTTTTGTGCTACAGGGCTCATGCCTTAACTGGGAGTTTCACCTAATTCTTGATTTCTTTCTCAAATGACGATTTAAAGATAGTGCAAAAAAACAAATTATATCCCTGATGCTGTAACTACCTTAACTGTTTGAGAATATAGAAGTGAGTATGTTTTATGAGTTTACAATGAATCATAGAAGGCAATTTATGAAGAACTAGAATGATTCTGTCTAGCTGCCTTCAGGGATCAGAAATTCAAATTAAACTTCTGGCAGACATTTAAAGAATGCTAGCATACAAAACTGAATTTAAAAAAAAACACACACAGTTAACACTCTTTCGTTGAGTTTCAAGAGGAAATCGTGAATTAAAAACACACACACAGACACTGCATGATACACTGTTGACTGATACCACTTGGGTGTGGCTGGTCCCAGGTGCACATGAACCTGCGGGAATGGCAGAAATTCAGCTGTGCTTGGCCCTCGGAACTGCTAGTATGGACCTGCTACTATCTTAATACCAGTAACTAGGAAAACGTCGTTAGCACTACCAAGTGCTGGTAGGAACCCCATACACTTCTGTGTCAATCCTGCCTGCCACAGTTTTCTTTTACTTTAAATTGACTTTCTATCATCCAAAAGCCAAAAGACTATTGAAATAAGATGCCTTATTAGCTCCCTTTATTCCCAAAGGGGAGAGGTAGGTGATGGGGTGGGGAAAAATATCTAAAAAGCAAACAAATAAATAAAAACGCCCATAGAAACAATACTCACTGCTAATCTAGGAGACAATTGGAGGAATTGGGTGGGAGGAGAGATGACACAAATAACACGCTATCATTTTTTTTCTTTCTCTTTACACTCACTCCCGTTAACTACAAGTAAATACTGCCCAGTGTAAACACACATACGTTTTGTCATCAGCATCTTCTCCTAGTTGCTAAGTGTACAAATAAGGAAAATGAGAAGACAGAAACACTTACGTACTGTTTTACTTCCATTAATCTGGATTAATAATTTAGAAACTAATTTTTCACCTCTATTATTCACCACGTGTATGTCCCAGGAAACCTGAGTCCCTTCCAGACTTCAGGCTGTGTGTGGATGATAACTGGACCAGGTTAGGCAGTGTTACCTGGTTCATCAAATAACAAGAGCAAAACAAATTAAATTAGAAGGCCCCAGACTAGCAAGACAAAACCAAAGAAAATAGCTCCATTAAAAAAAACACAACAACAAAACAAAAAACCTATACCAAATTTCCTATGACCTATAGAACCTAGCCTGTGTAAAAGAAAATAAGTACTACTTCCTAAATACCATTACCCCCTGTGGAAGACAAGTTTTCATAATTAATAAGCGAATGGATACAGCTGATACATTGGCAAACAGAAAAGTTAGGAAGCTTCTATCTATTCCCCAAGGTATCTAGAAAGAAAGAAAGAAAGAAAGAAAGAAAGAAAGAAAGAAAGAAAGAAAAAGAAAAAAACAAACCACATACACACAGATACCATGCAAAGCAG